CCACAAGCAAGTTTAAGCAGATTCAATACAATGGATATATAGATTTCAAGTGAGCACACAAGCTACTACACAATCCAGCAACACACATGCATATTCGAAAAAAGGAAAATAATTATATGCCGAATACAAAACTTAGAATTACAAAACATGAGCTCCACCTTATTTGACGTCAACTAGAGAATATTCAGCTCTACAACTCTAGCACACACTTCTACGGGCTAAGAACAAAGTTCTACGACCAAACCACCTGGATCGATCGACCTCTAAAATCTTCGGAACTCAACTACTCAAACATCCTAACTTGGAAGAACGCTAAGTAACCTAAGAGAAAACCTAGAGGTACATTAAACAACTAGGAAGAATTCTAACCCTACAAAAACAGTAAGCAACTAAGAGGAACGCAAAGCACTTAAAACTTAGTTCAGCCGAACACTATCACAAAAAAATACCCATAAACAAAATTACAAAGCATCTATAAAGGAACACCAGAAAAGAATACACACAGATATTCTCACACATAGCCAACAATTACACATATAGCAGTCATATAGAAAACAACTATTTCATGACACAAGTTTTATTTACACAAAGCAGTTAGTCAACAGAAAATCAATATACAATTTAAGCAATACACATTATCACCAAAGATTCATACCAATTTATATCAGGTAGAATACTCAAGGATTACACCACAAAGATAATCCACAAAGATCTCAATCAAGGAACACTTACAACTCGTCCCGTAAAGGATGGTCTGGTGGTGTGGGGGTTGGACTTATGACCATGAGGTCATGGGTTCAAACCCCCGACACCTCAGGTCACCTGCCACACATGGTTCGCCAAATATGACTTGTATGTCAGGCCTAGTTTGCAAAAAAAACGACAATTCACTATATCTATTAAAAACTAATAATAATAAAATCACAAGGCTAACAAAATAGCCCAAGAACTACCGAACTCGATCTTCTTTTAATTTTGAAATAAGTTTTCAGACTCTAATACCACTATTGTGAATTTATATCCCAGATCGACGAGTTTATTTTAGTGTACCTCGTATACAAATAGAATTTAACTACGAGGGAGCAATAATTGAATAAATCCAAAATAATATTAAACCGAAATCGAAATGAAATTAACAAAATTAAACATAGGCTAAAATATTTCTGGAAAATCAAAATCCAAACAAACACAATATTAAATTTACTTCATATTCATGTGAATAGAGGAGAAAATTTCTCCTCTGTTTGGGGAAAATTGCAAAAAACATCCTTCACGAATGCCCAATTATCTTTTTTTTATTAATTTATCTTGCTGGTAAAATATATCTTACACGTTTACAAAAATTGTTACTCTGTCTTTTGGTCGCGCGATATGTTCACACAACGGCTGTTCCACGCGCGGCCACGTACGACGAGATGACAGATATGACGATTTTTGCAAATATGTAAGATATATAATGTCAACGAGATAAATAAAAGACAAAAGTGACAATTGGGCATACGTGGAAGAAATTTTTTATAATTTTACCTCTGTTTGCATATCACAATCGACGATCTAGCTAGCCGACGACGACTTCTGCCGAAATGATTTTCATCGACAACCAACGGCTCCTTAGGAAACATCGTCCAACAGCTCCGAGAGCAAGCAGTGGAGGGCATCTTTTCTGATCTACTCCGACAAAGCCTCGAACAACTGCGGCGACTCCAAGTAATGAAGGCTTCACCCGACGAAAAATGATATTGTCTCCGATCATCATCTCCAGCACATCAAGCAATAGCACACAACGGATCTTTCCGGAGACTCCACGCATCGGGGCAGCAGCTCCCTCGATCAACACGCCAAACACGAACAGATCCATCAAGGGGCAGATCTACGTTCTACCCCGTGGTGGCACATGCCACTAGTCATTTTATTCTGATAAAGGAAATTTTATATGATTTACTAAATGTACTACCAGTAAAACATTACATTGCCCCTGTTAAAAAATTAAAATGCCTTGTTACCCAAAATTTTTAAATAGATTATTTAAAATTTAAAATATTACAAATATTAAAATAATTCAAATTCAATTGAATTAAACTGATTAATTATAAAAAAAAATAAATATAAAATAAATATTATTATAATATTATATTTTATATTATCAATAATTTTTTTTATTAATATCAATATTATTATAAAAATATGAAAACATATAATTAATTTAATTATTTATATTATTTATATAAAAATTGAGTCTAAATCAAACAACTCAAATTCATTCACATTCACAATTGTTCTGTCTAACCAGCATTTTCCCCTCCATATGTTGCGGCCGCTACTGTGTCTTCTTTCTTCTTCGATTCAATCTAAGTATATTTGAAGATCTGTCTGTGATTAGATGAGATTATTGATTTATTATATTTTTTTTTTCATTTCGATTCTAATTCATAATTTATTTGTTCTTTGTCTATTTCGATTTAAATCTGTGTATTCTTTTATTTTTTATGATGTTACTTTTGATTTTAAATTTTTTTATTAAGAGAGTTTACGTTATTTATGATTATATTAGAATATAATTTAAAATATATTACGAATTTTAATAATTTTTTGTTTATCTCTCTTTCTTTTTTTTACATATAAAATTAACTTTTATGCTCTATGGAGAAATTTTTAAAAAGAAAAGGTTCAAGTGGAAGCAGTTTCAACAGTCTTTCTCAACCAAAATGTTCTCTATCAACACCATCATAGATAATTGAATAGATCTTACTAATATGGCTGCATTGAGTCCGCGAGAATCATTTTCTATGTTTAATGCATCAAAGTTAGTAAAGTTAAGTACATTCTATCCATATGATTTTAATAATATGGAAATAAATTTATTGGAGCGTGAACTTAACATCTACTACGAGACTATGCTTCGAAATGAAAATTTTACTAACTTAGATGGTATCACCAGGCTTGCTAGATTGATGGTGCAAACAAGAAAACACATTTCATATCCACATGTCTTTCGATTGTTGAAGCTAGCTTTGGTTTTACCAACCGCAACAACAACAGTTAAAAGATGTTGTTCTGCTATGGAACTTGTGAAGTCAGATTTGCGCAATCAGATGGCTGATGATTTTTCGAATGATTTGCTGATTTGTGCTATAGAGAAGGAAACATTTGTTAATGTTTCGAATGAAGTCGTAATTAATCGCTTCCAAAGCATGAAACTCACCAAGAACAGTTATAGAATGTAAATTGTTCGTATGTTTTTTTATTTTAATATAATAAAAACTTTTAATTTTTTTATTTTAAAATTTATATATTGTGTCACCAGTAAATAATTTTTCTAGATCCGCCTCTGGATCCATAGGTGGACAACATCGATCCGCTCCAAATTTCATACTAAACAGACCTGGCTTTGTGCGGCTCTACCAAAGTTCTTTTCCCGGCGATTAGAATGACAAATTAAGACCCAACCTTTGGTTATGATCGACCTTAGATGAACATGTCTCAATGCAGAAGTCGGCACATTATTTCAAGCCTAGACACTCATTGTAATCCGCACAAGGAAAGAGAGTTTGGGCTTGGGTTTGGATTAGAGGATTTGGGCCGAGTCTGGTGGAAGGAGTGGATCAACTATTGTATTTATCGAGGAACTCGTTAAATTAGGTTTCAAACGGCCAAAATTTCCAACATAGATCCCATCTTATTCTTACGTTTCCATCTTAATTTCTACAATATTATAATATTTTGATATATTATTCTCAATTTTCTTGCAATTTATTTCTCTAGATCCCCCTTTCGTTTATTTCCAAATCATTGATGCAAGATCGAATTTGAATATTTTGTTCAATAAGCTGAAAAATTCATCCCGACTATCCAACCTGTCAAACTCAATCGCACGTCGAAAGTGAATTTTTGAACGAGAACAAACACCATCTAAGATAAGTATATGTAAATACTGTTGCTAATGTACATATAACTTTGCTATTCTGGATCTTTTATGATGTGTTTCTTCAGTTCCGATTTCGGCCAAAATATTGTGTAAACACTGTGTACAGTGCCGATTGCACCAAATCGGGGCTGCCGTGGTCTAAAGCTGACAATTACTACAGTTGCAGCTTTACTTGTAATTTTTTTTTTACTTTCTTTTTTAAAAACTTTTAATCCTTACTCACTGGCCGTGCAAGAACCAATGCATTCATTTATTTTATATTTATAATAGTTATATTTTAATAAAATTTATACAATATATATGTCATTTCGTAAACAATAATTTTTTTTTATAATACAAATAAATAAAAAATTATAATATTTATATTTTACTAAAATATGTACAATATATAAGTCATTTCATAAAAATTAAAATTTTCTACAATAAAAATAAATAAAAATATAAAAATATATACATAGATATAATATAAATTTATACTCAAATTATACTCTTATTAATTTTAAAAATTTAAATTTAATATACATTTATATTATTATATTTATGACACATTTAAATTTAATATATATTTATATTATTATATTTATTACCCGTTAAATCAATACATATCAAAAGTTTCAAAATACAAGCCAAATCTACAAACAAAAGAACACAAATATTCAACTCATCTTAAAATTCTAATTAAACTACAAAATTTTCGAAACCACCCTTAAAAACACATCCTTAGGTCTTTTGATTTATTACTTTCACAATATATAGCAAAACCCAAATGAAAAATAATAATAAAAAAAAATAATAACAAAAGAAGAATAATATCCACACAACTATAAAACTTAAGTATTCCATATTCCAATTCAAAATAATGCGAAAAAACTTATACATAGCATGTGACGTGGAGTCCAGCCAATTTATATATGTCATGTGACTATTAAATGGGAGCTTAATAATTATGATGGGTCGGAGCCCCGATTGGACACCGGGTGTATCGAATATAGACGTTACGCATCCCGTAACGGCTACTTCCCACTTTAATTCAAATCATTCCATTCCCAACTCAATTCATCATCCCTTTATTCTTCTTCTTCTTCCCTGTTGCTCCTTTCTTCTTGGGACTTAGTAGATCGATTCATCTCTGATTTCTCTCCATCAACCAAGAAAAGGATCTTTCCTTTCTTTTTCTTCGTCTTAATTTCTCTGTAATTGTTGTGTAAATTTCAGAAATCTCGTAAGGTTTTGCGATTTTCGCAAAATAAGATTTGAGTTTTTTTTGCATCGGAGAGGGTTGATTGAGAGAGAGAGAGAAAAAACCCTAGGTCATTGTTGCAATGGCCCCTACGCCTACCCCGAAGTCGAATCACTCGACGCCTTGGTCGAAATCGAACGCAGTGCATCAGCAATCGCGGACTCCTCAGTCGAAGATCCGCCTAAATTTCACCAAAGAAAGCTCCGCCGAGCACCCGGTGGAAGTGATCGGAAGAATAAGGGATCATCCGGAGCAGAAAATCAAGCACAACACGAATCCGTCGGCCTTGCAGATCAACGGCGATGGAAAATCCGTGAGGGTGAAGACGGAAATAGGGTACAGGGATTTTACCCTAGATGGAGTCTCGGCTTCGGAGGAAGAAGATCTCGAATGTTTCTACAGAAAGTTCGTGGAGGCGAGAATCAGCGGCGTCAAACTAGGGCAGAATTGCACAATAATGATGTATGGTCCGACAGGGTCCGGCAAGAGCCACACGATGTTCGGGTGCTCGACGCAGCAGGGGATTGTCTACAGGTCGTTGAAGGACATTTTGGGCGGCGAAGGCACCGAGAAAGTAGGCCTGGGAACATTTGTGCAGGTCACTGTTCTGGAGATCTACAACGAAGAGATATACGATCTGCTCTCATCAGGCAATGCTGGTGGTGGATTTAGTCTTGGATGGCCTAGAGCTGGCTCTGCTTCTAAGGTAGATAGATATAGATTCTTCTTCACTTTCTGCAAATTAACTGTATGTAGTTTATGTGGAAATGATTATTCTGTTCATATGCATACATTGCACAGCTTGATTTTGCAGCTGGAACCTTGATTTTTAGTGGTTTTACTTAAGGTTTCTATCAGTTTAAGTGAATTTTAGCCTAGCTTGTTAATTAATGGCCAACTGACTAAGCATTGATTCTTTGATATTACAGGCAAAGCTGGAAGTTATGGGTAAGAAAGCCAAAAATGCAACCTATATTTCAGGAAATGAAGCTGGTAAAATTCTCAAGGAGATACAGAAAGTAGAGAAGAGAAGGATTGTAAAAAGTACACTATGTAATGAAAGAAGTTCCAGAAGCCATTGCATGGTATCGATCTTCTTCGAAACCCTTAATGGTTTTGTTAGTTCTTCTGTATGTATTCTCTTTTATATTTGTCTGCCTTTTCTCTTGCAGATAATTCTTGATGTTCCGACAGTTGGGGGCAGGCTAATGCTTGTGGACATGGCAGGTTCAGAAAACATCGAACAAGCCGGACAAAATGGTTTTGAAGCAAAAATGCAGGTAAGGTTTCCTTAGATATATGTCAAAAGGGAAGTCCACTACATTACACATGTTTTTTTCCTCCAACTGTTTCAATTCTCAAGTTATTAATCATGTTACAAATAATTGCAGACTGCGAAGATTAACCAAGGGAATATAGCACTGAAGAGAGTGGTTGAATCGATCGCGAATGGTGATTCTCACGTGCCATTCAGAGATAGCAAGCTAACCATGCTACTCCAGGTTTATGTTGTTCCAGCATAGGATAGTGTGTATTCTACTATACAATCCTTTGTTGGTTTTTGAAACTGGTGTGAAATTTCAAACAGGACTCGTTCGAGGATGACAAGTCGAAGATCTTGATGATTCTTTGTGCTAGTCCAGATCCAAAGGAATTGCACAAGACTATTGCTACCTTGGAATACGGTGCTAAAGCTAAATGTATTGTTCGAGGTCCTCAAACACCAGTTAAGGATGAAGACTCATCGTCAGCTGTTCTTTTGGGTTCGAGGATTGCAGCCCTTGACCAGTTTATCAGCAAGTTACAGTTGGAGAACAAGCTAAGGGAGAAAGAGTGCAACGAGGCTCAGAAAGAGCTTAAGAAGAAGGAACAAGAAGTTTCTGCATTGAGGGCTAAGCTTGCAATAGCAGAAGGGAACCGAAAGGAAGGGAGCGAGGAAGAGATAAATTTGATAGTAAAAGAGCGAACGTCTAAACTCAAATCCGAACTAGAGAAGAAGGTACAAGAATGCCAGCAAATGGCGAATGAATATGTCGAGATGGAAAGGAGGAAGATGGAAGAAAGGATGATTCAGCAGCAGCAAGAAGTTGAAATGTTGAGGCGGCGGCTGGCAGAGATCGAATCTGAACTTAATCAGACAAGAGCCGGGAGAGCCTCAGTAGACATGGAGGGAAGCAGGTTCGCAAAAAAGCTGTTGGAGGTGTGCTCTGAGGAGTCGGATATGGTTAAGTCCATGGATTTGGTCCAGTCCATCGACATGGATATGAAAGTGCTTCCGAAGACAGAAGTTTATGGATCTTCTTGCACTGTTTCGGGCTATCCCTACACGAATAATGTCTGTGAAGGAATCATAGGATTGCCAGGAAAAGCATCCTTGACCACTGTGTATGAGGAGGATGAAAACGAATCCGAGGAAGACAGAGAGAATCTTTCGGAGGAAGAAGTGCAGAAGGAGGTGATAGAAGAGAAAAAGATAACAATTGCACCTCAAGTTTCTCATCCAAACATTGAAAAGTCCGACTACTTTAATGACACAGCAAAGATCAGAGGTTCATTAGTCTTATACGACGACGAGCCTGAAAATGCTGTTGATGCTCCAGCTTCTCGTGAACTAAGGATTCAAAATATTTTCACTCTATGCGGGAATTACAGAGAACTCTCTCAGAGCAATAGCAGCACAGAAGCACCTGCTAAAACAATATCAGACGTAGATGAAAAATCCGAGGTTCATCAGAGTATTTCCAGAGATGCACCTGAGATTGAAACTTCGAAGGTCGAAGCCTCTGATCATGTCGAAGTATATGTAAAATGGGAAGCATCGAAAGAGAACCCCGGAAAATTTATCACCACATTGAAGATTTCAAAAGATTCGACTCTTGCAGACCTACGAAAGGCAATAGAGATCAATCTTGGTAGTAATCAGCAAGCTTTCACTTTCCTTGTTCTCGGGGTATGTATATGCTCTACTGCAGAATTTTATTTTGTCATCTGTTTTATTGGTATTTTCTTACACGTGCGAAATCATAGGACCCGTCGGGTGCCCCTGTGCCTAAGGAGAAAGAAGCCACAATGTCTGCAACTGCGCTTCCCGTCTGCAACAGCCAATTACAGGGCCATCTAGCTTGTCTGCGCCCGGTGAAGAGAATTCAGTCTCCCGGTCATCTACCATTCAGTTCCTTGGAGAACATGCTGGGAAACACCCCGAATTCGCAAAGGAAGAGCAATGATTGCTACTCACCCAAGGTAACTCAGCACATTAATTCGACACCTTTTATTGCTCTGTGAAGACAGATTGATTGTGTTTTGTGTTATATAGTTAGAACTTCCTGTAAAAGTATATGCGCCGACTATGACATATGTATTGTGTTTGGAGGAGTGGTGTGTCTGTCTAATGTGCACAGCTGAGTGAGTATGTTATCTGTAGTTATGTACTCCTTGTGCATGTTCTTCTATTAATGATTGTTGGTTCGATTGTTTTTGTCGTAAATTGAAGATTCTGCATCAGAATGTTGTCTGAAAGCTGGAAGAATGCATACTAAAACTACATTAACTTTAGATTCATTACAAAGTAGTAGTAAATGAGACTGCGCCGATAGTATTGGAAACTTAGGATCGAAATGAAAAGATGTGACAAAGAATATAGTGAAAATGTAGGATGGATATCTATTAGAAGTCGGAATTTCTTCAGGAACACTTCATTTCATCTAGTCCACTACTTGCCTGCACAACCCAACCACAGATTCTTGGAATCAAATAGAAAATTGAAGAGGAAATTGCAGCAGATAGGAAAGCAAGCTTACCAGATAGTTGTGGATCTCTGCGAGGACGGGGGAGAATTCTGCGCAGAGCTTGTTCATATCTTGGAAGACATTCTCTTCTGGCCCTAACACCTCCAAAAACTTGTTCCTGTCCGGAACAAGCTTCATGGCGACCTTTGTGTGTTTTTTATAAGTTAGTTATTCTGATACATACATATATGAAAATTGTTGAATGACGGGCGGTTGTTACCGAGAAGCTTGAGCTAGCGAGCCAGCCGTGCCATTTCTTCAAGGTGGTGGCGTAGGCATCGTTGCAGCACTGGGACATGGACCAGTCTTGGTGCTCGCACAGGTTGCGGAACAGCTGCACTAAGAAATCCATTGCTCTGCCGCAAACCAACCAACCGGTGGAAAAGGAATGAATGAACGAGTGAGTGAATATAGATGTAGATATAGATATAGATATACATGTACCTTGTTAGCCAGAGCAGTCCATTGGTGCAGCTGGATGAGCCTTTAGCGGTGTTAGCTTCCACCTCGGCTTTCACCAAGCTATACAGCAACTTGAATCTCGTCGGATCCGTATCATACTTAGATTCCAGCCTCTGCCAAACAAACAAACAAACACATATCTATCTATGGATAGAGGGAAGGATGTAATCCTTGAATACATACATGGATCAAGCAATTCTTTATTAATTAGATCGATCGATCTTACTTACGGATATGTTCCCGCCAATGTCAGCCTTGACGATGGTCATTGCAGCCCCAAATTTATCTGTGAATGAGAATTAATTAATTAATTAAAATCGAAAAAAATGAACAAGAAAGGAAAGAAAGAAAGGTGATAAATATAATATAATATATAACCTAAGAGAGGCAAAATATGTTTGCAGACATCCAAGAAAGGTTTGGTCTGGAAATCGCCACGGCCATCGGTTTGTTGGGTTCTTACAAGCTTCAGTCCCTCCAGACACGGCACAAACACTGTTCTTGTTTCTTTATTTGCTGTTGCCATTTCTCGATCTTCTCTTCTGCAATTGATTGGATGGATGATCAATGAAAACAAGAGAATGAATGAATATAATATAATATAATATAATATTGTTATTATTATTACTTAATTTGGATTGTCAAAATCAATGATCTATATATTGGATTATTTGCATTGCATCAAAATGATTATTTATCTATTCATTTATTTTATATGATCACGATCTGAAGAATAATGTGTGCTTGTTTTGTTTATATATGATTTATTAGAAGACTAGAAATTAATTAATTAATTAATTAAAAACAATGGTTATGGAATGGAGGCTAGCAGTAGTGGTTGGTGGGTGGTGAGTTAATAAGTTTAACTGATTTTCAAATAGCATGGCTGGCTACACCTTCGGATAAGGATTTCCAGCCAATGTAGCAGAGTACGTACTACTCCTAATTAAATATATCTGCGACTCTTTTGTGTATCTATCTCTCTACGGCTTTTCTTTATTTTTTGTTTCTTTTTTAAATAAATATTGATTGAGAATGGCAATTACACCTAATATTTTAAATATATTATATTTTAAAAAAATAGATATTCTATTATGAATAGTACAATAAAAGGAAAAACAAAAAAAAAAAAATACGAATGCAACCATATATTATAATTTTAAAAATTTGTTCAATGTGTGACAGTAAAATAATTATTTTATACTGTATAAGTAAGATGCGACCTCGTGTCATTTATTAATTAATAGTTTAAATATAATAAAATTAATAATATATTTAATAATAATAATAAATTTAGTCTAGTCAAATTAAAAGTTGTTTAAAACCACTTTATTATTATCCACGTTGATAGAACTTGAGGTAAGGATCCAACTCATCGTCTCAATCAGAAATCATCTCATCGTCCCAACCAGAAGATCCATAATGGTTTCCAACCAAGATCAATGTATAAGTATATTGCATATTTAATTGATTTTGTGAGAATCATAAAGTTGAAGGTCTGCGAATTAATCAATTTTATTTTATTTTAAATTTACAGTAAAAATATGTATTGATATAATATTTTTAATGTATTTTTTAAATGTAATATACTAAATAAAAAATTAAGTATTTAATTTAATATTGTTTGAATTATATATATATTTAAATAATAAAGTCAATATCAAAATCTCACTAAGTAATTTTTATTTTTTTATTTTTTAAGTTTTATTTCTTTCTTAACAAAGTTAACTGTAGGATGTGGAATATTAAGGGTGTGTTTCTTCTGCCTAGTATTTGCACAATAAACCAGCCCAAATCTGAGTTGTCTGGTTTTGGGGCAGCCGTTGATACATGTTTTTTTTTTTTTTCATATAATTTAAATTAAAAATATAAATTAAATTTTTTATAATATGTATAATTTAATAAAATATATACAATATATTTAACTACAGATACATAAAAATTTAAAAATATATGTGTAAATATAATATAAATTTATAATTAAATTATACAAATTAATACACGTTTATATTATTATATTCATCACCATCAAATAAATATACGTCAAAATTTCTTAAACTCAACCTAAACTTAAACACAAAAGAAAACACATAAATTCAAATAAAAATCAAACTCAATTTTCCCAAACCCGCAAGACACACACCCTAAGATGTATTTAGATATATTTTCAAATATTATTGAAAATTTGAAAAATAATAGGAATACTAAAAGAATTCAATGAAAATTATTGGTTCCTGTTTGAGTTTAGATTTGTAATTTGAATTTGAATTTAAATAATAATTTAAAATTATAAAAAAAAGTATATTTTTATTAAAAATTATGGGGTTGAATAATACTTATTTATATTTGAACTTAAAATAAAACAAACCCTATATATACTACTCCCTCTGTCAAATTTCTATTGTTCTAAAGTATATTTGGACGGTTTTTTTTAGGTGATTGTCTTTTTATTATTATTTGACAAATTTTCCGTTAATTGTATGATAGAAATTAAAAGTAATAAATAAATGAAAGATAAAAACGTAAAATTTGTGTTTAAAATAAAAAATAAAATAGGACAATAATTGTTGGATATCCCAAATAAAAAAAATAGTACATTAATTTATAGACGGATGGAGTATAATATAAATAAAGATTAGGTTAATATATACTCCATCCGTCCCATGTAATATGGGTGTATTACTGTAGACACGGGAATTTAGGTAAAGTATAATTAGTAAGTAATTAAGAAGTTCATTAGTAAAAATAATTATTATTTAGTAAAAATAATTATAGATTAACATTAAGATAAATAAATAGTTTAATTAAAATTAAAAAAATTATAAAATTTAAAATTTAAAATGCGATTAAAGTATATAATTATATTTTCAAAAATAGAAAGGACAAGTTATGTGGGACGGACGAAAATAGAAAATAGGAATAAATTATGTGGGACGGAGGAAGTATTATAATAATACATTTTTTATGTTATATCCTTAGGTCAGGTTCGATTCTATTATGGTACATATATTTGCATAGCATATATGGTAATTACTAATTTGCATAATGAGCAGCACTAACTCGGTTTTGCTACGAGATTTATTGGTACCAAGTACAAAATTATGATTAAAATTTATTTTAAAGAACTTTTATCCGATTAATTTACCGTAAAGTAATTTTTTAAATGAGTTCATTTCTAAAAATCTAATTTATTCAAGATTTTAAAGAGGTTTTTTCACTTTAATTTTATTTATTTTATATTTATCCTTAAAAATTAATAATTTATTTCATATTTGTCTCCAGGTCCACTTGCCACACATGATTCGCCTAGTGTGACTTGCTTTATCAAGCCTAGTTTGCAGGGTATTAGGTTCCGCCGGAAATTTTACCAAGTGCGCACTTTCGGATAGCGACTACGAGTTTCCACGTTATCAAAAATATATGTATATATAATTTTATTGTAGTATTTATTAACTATTTTTAATACTCCCTACGTCCGACTCCAAAGGTCCCATTAAGTTTTTGCGTGTGATATTTGAATATTAATTATTATATGAAAATGTAGTACAAATAGGAAAAAATGGCAAAATACTTATATTAGTATCTTATAATAATATTGTAATGATATTTGTACAAAAAATAATAGAAATATGAGGATATTTTTAACGTTAAGTACAATGACGCAAAAAATAAACGAGATCCTTAGAGCCGGACGAAGAAAATATAATTTATTTATTAAATTATAATTTTATTTTTATAAATTTAAAATAATTACTATTATTAATTATTACATATAAATTATTTTATTTTTAAAATATATAAATCTATTAAAATTAAATCCAAATAGAAGAGACAAATATTATTAATTTAGTTATATATATATTTTTATAATATAAATTTTATATTAAAAATAAATAAATTAGAATAAATTAATAAACAATAACTAACATAATAAAAATATAAATACGGAAGATTTATTATTTTATATTTTACACAATTTAAATAAAAATTATTATTATATTTAATAAAAATATTTTTCTCATATCTAAAAAATAAAAACAAATATTTTATAATTTTCAATAATCAATAACAAAAATTCTTAAAAATTCTAAAACAAAATAAACAAAATTGAATATTTTAAATAATAACATATAAATATCTTTAATTGTTATTTTACGTATAAATAGTTAATATCAAACGTAGTTTTATGAAACACTTTAATAAAAAAACTAATGGAATAAGCTAGTCAAATCAGTTAATACAGTTAATAGCTAATTGAATCAGTTAATACAATACCGCTAAAAACTATCAACTAATTGTCAACCGCACCCTAAATATTATTTTTGTCATTGTCAATGTGTGTTTTAATTTATGTGCAAAAAATAGTGTTATTTATGTAATAATAATAATATAAAAATGATGAATGATAGTTTTTGTTAGAAAATTTAATTTAATTTTGTGCTAATGTATCCCATAAACATTGTATTTGATTGTAAATCAAAGTAAGCGATAAGATCAAAAGCATATCAAAATCAGAACCGAAGTTGTTACATTAGAGAATATTACAAGAAAATTGGAGAGATATTACAACATCCACGTGACATTATTTGAAGTAACTAACAAATAGTTTGTTTTGAGCTGAAAAGGTTAGTTGGGGTGTGTCGTGGATTATTGATCAACGAATTTTATTCGAACAATACTTCGTATACAAAATACAAAATATTAATAACATAAACAATTAAATCGAATAAACCCAAATTAACTAAGTCGAACCGAAATGAAATTAAACACATAATATCAAAGGCATATTCTGGAAATTAAAGCAAACACAAACAAAAATGACCCAAAAATTAACGAAAGTAATTGAATTAAGTTCCTTCATGTTCGTATATGTTTCTCTCTTTGTGAATCTGAGTCCAAATTGGACGAATGACAACAGCGGATTTGATCGTCTTCTTGGGAGGATAGACCTGATGAACAGCAACAGATTGTCGGCGACGGCGACTTCTCATCCGATCGTCATCTCTGGTGGACTTTGATCTTCTTCGATTTTTTCCGGCGATTTTCGGCTCAGTTCATGGTGCGAAAATGGCCCGATATAACCACGCCTCAATGTGGAGGTCGACGCTTCACTCTAAGCCACGACATCCAACGGAATCGGCACTCGGAAAGGTTTCTCACTCACCATAATTCACTCGTGGTTCTCTTCTCTCCCTCTCCTCTCAAATTGTTTTTTCTCACTGAAACTAACTCTCTTTTGGTTAGGCTTTGGATATATGGGTTTGGATTTACAGGAATTGGACCGATTCGGTGGGGCGGGTTAAGGAGTAGCCCAACTTATTTTTATTTATCGAGGGACTTGTCTAGTTAGGTCTCGAACGGCCAAAATTCTTAACATACTCCACCTAGTTTGGCCGTGATTTAACCAAATCTCAAAATACATATTTACTAGATATAGACTTACCTTGCACCAATGGATTTCATCACCGCCTTTTGTCCCTCGTTGTATCAACGAACAAATGTTAACACAGACAAAATATAGTACACATAGATCTTAACATGCATCTAGATAGCTCACATAGCAACCTAGCATAGAATGAACACAA